AATAGATTGGGAGTTCCATAAAAGGTGTTTGGTTAAGCGAAAATGATAAATAAAAAATAAAAAAGGTTGATTAGTCATTTCTTTCATTTATATTTATTTGGCATGGTTAGCTCATAATGTCTGACAGGATCTAATTAAACTTTTACAAATGTAAACCCTAATAATAATAATAGTAATAATAAGTATCTTAACATCGATTAACCCATTCCATACTTGCGAACACTTTTGTATGCGAACATTTGAATAGGTTAGATTAAGAAAGTTTAACTTAATAATAACCAAAATGTTGTATCTCTCATTCAATATAAATGATACTAATTAATTTATGAAAAAAAAAAAAAACAATAATACTATGGTATTTTAAGTTCAAAGTAATTAATTATTATATATAGTCAACCATGGGTTGCAAAATGTATCACAATCCTATTCTATTGTTTGTTTTCTCGAAAAATATAGAGAAATTAGCGAGTGACACGTATCTCCAATTGGAATTGAGATTTTAAGATTATCCATCAATAGTCTCCGTCACCAAAATAGTATACTTGTGAGTGAGAGAATTAACTGAGAGGATGTACTTCCAATTTTTAATAACTTTAATTTCCTCTCATATCCCATATTGGGAGGGGTGCTTGCAATTTTTAAAAGTTTGTAACCATATGATTGATAATTTCAAATGTTAAAAATGATTTATTTAATGATTCGAAAAATACCGATGAAAATTAAAAATTTAAGTCTAGAAGTCATCAGTAATTTGTGAATTGGACTCATGCATAATAAAGGTCATAACTCATGCGGAGAGAGCTTGTGGATTGAAGTCATGCATAACAATATCCATGACTCGTGCAAAAGAGATGGTGTATTGAAAATATTTTTTTTTTGAAAATAATGTATCATTGTAAATATGATGCAAACCAAGCAATTACTACTCTATCATGTATCCTTTTCATTTTTTAAACTTCCTCACCGTGTTCGCCAAATAATATCATCTTAATTTTTAGTCTTGTGATTTATGTCTCTCTCATGTTAAATTTGAAGTGGTTGAATGATGTGTCCAAGTCAAGGTTTGTATTGGTTGAATTTTGAACTTGCATGTACGTTTTTCAAGCCTAGTGGCTTCTCCTAATACTGTAATACATAACATTTGCTCAAGTAAAAGATTTTCTAAATAAAAAGAAAAGTGGAAATAAGCACAAAGAGAAATTAGACAAAAGTTCTATTTTAACCACATGGGTAGTGCTAAATCCACTTCAACTCTTTTATCATTACGTGTATATGAGATAATAAGGTTAGCTTCCATTGGTGTTGGTTGATGTGGATTCTCTTAGCTACCATTGGTAGACCTGTCAATGGATCGGATTCGGATCGGATCGATCAAATTCATATCATATTTGTTAAGTAAACGGATTATCGGATTCGGATCACTAACGGGTTCTCGGACTGAATGTCCCAATCCATATCCTATTTAGCTCGGACTCGGATCGGATCGGATCGGATTCGAAATCGGATTAAATTAATATTTACTAACATATATAATTATAAAGAGTATAATTTTATTAGTATGTGTACTAAGAGATTTATTAGCATGTGGATGAGAACACCACAATATTTTTATATAACATTATTATTATTTTGAATTTTTGGGTTACTTTTAATACAATTCTGAAAGGAGTATTGATATATATATGTGTAAAATTATTGATAAATAATTATATATATAATTATTTATATATATAATTTTAATCGGATCGGATCAGATTTTTATCGGATCGAATCAGCATAATCCATATCTAAATTATTAAGCTAGCGGATTATCGGATTCAGATCGTAACCGAGTTATCGGATTTTTTGTTCAATCCATATCCGACTAATCGGATCGGATCCGGATCAGGATCCGCTCCATTGACAAGTCTAACCATTGGTGTTGGTTGACGTGGATTCTCTTTTTCAACGTCTAGCGGCTTCTCTTAGCTTCTTTGAAAACTCGGCCCGGCTAGTAGTGTTCGACCCTGAATCAGTGCACGCATATTCTCCAAAGAAAACCCTGCAAAGCCATCATATATCCCTTAATTAGCATATATATATATATATATATATATATATATATTATTTTATATGTATAACGGGTGAAATACAATGCATCCCAAAGGGAAGAATGAGATTAGGAGTTCCTTAATTTATTATCAAAGGTTAAGATCCTCCGGAAAGGAATGCTACCAAACTTTTTTGGATAGTGTGTATTCATGGTGAACCATCTCATCCATCAGTTGAAAGAAGACAATATGTCACTAACATTTCTTTGTTTCAAAACTGAAATTTGATAGTAGATAAAGAAATTTATATTGGCATTTAATTTTTCTATATTAAACATAATATCTATTAGTAACAAAGAAGTTTGTAACTGTTACTATTTTAAAGTCTGAAATTGAACAACTCCGACTAAATGAATGGGAATCGACTTACATCATAATGTCATTAATATTAAATATAGAGATCTCATGATTTTTGTCAGGCGAGATTACTTTTCCCTCAATATATACAATAATGTATATATATATATATGGCTTACTTGTTTTTTTGAGGATTATAATGATCTGACCATCCTTGAGAGGTAACCACATTACTCATGTGAGTGTAAGTATATACTACTTTAGAGAAAGTCGTCCAGACTTGACCTAAGGAAATGCTGCTCCCTGAAACACTTATTCTGCAATGAACAAATGAGTAACCAGTTTCGTCAGAGCTATCTTCCCTTGCTTGTGCTGTCACTATCGCAATATTTTCACCCGACAAACACATGTAATTCCGTATTTTGCACCAAAAAACATCCATGCATATCTATTATTGTTCAAGGGAATATAAATGCTCAAATTTTCAAATATAAGAGTGTAATGTTTAAAAATGCATGCATGTAGGACGTAGTCTAATGAATACATAGAACACACACACACACATATATATTGAAGAGAAAGATTTTGATACCAAATATAGAGATCTCCCATTGCCGAAGATGAAATCAACGATGCCTTCAATGTAACAATCTTGAAAGAAATTGTAACGACCCGAACTCATGGGTCCGAACCATTAATCGGGTCCTTAACCGAACCCGAGGTCGTCTAAGTCAATTTCGTCATTTCTAGTGTCAAAACATCATTCTTAGGTCTTAAATACGCTTCATGAAGGCTCTATACAACTTTCCCAAGGCACTAGGTGAATTATACCAGAGAAAGGAACAAAATGAACCAAGCAGCAACAGTTCGATTGACCGAAGTGAACCCCCCTGTACCGGTCGACCGAAATGGCCATTTCAGTTGGCCGGTTGTGACCTAAACAGTGGCTGGGGCTACTGAAAGAATCGGTTGTCCGAAACAGCCATTTCGGTCGGCCAAAATGACCCTGCGAGCTGGGTTTCAGCCACTGTGAATGCTGAGAATGAGGAAATATGCAATGGCTTCGGTGGAAGTCTTGAAAACTGATCAAAACCTGCTCTAATACACTTCAAATAATGAAACTACATCCCATGGTTATAAACATCAACATTTAGATACAAAGCAACTTCATTTACCCATTCAACTAAAAAATAACGATAGTCTTTACATTTTATCCAAATTTATATTAAATAGCATCAAAGGTTTATGATTACATTACATAGCCAAGGTAAACAAACTTAATACATTTTTAGGATATTGCTTTACAAAAGAATGGCCTCAAATACAAAAGGTTACAAAATACACTCCTAGTCCCTTTCATGCTTGTAGTGGATTGTCATCCGCCACCTTCTTTCCATGACCTAAAATGTTAATAATAAAGGGTGAACAAAATTTTTCAGTAGATGGTACTAAGACACACCTCTTGTGACCCCGTGAATCCAAACAGTGAATAGAAATGAGGAGAACGGGATCATGCTATGCCGGGGAAAATTACAAAACAATTTCGAGGTCACAAATAGACAATGTCAAACTATGTCGCTCCCCACTTTCAAAATCCATTCCATTCATTACTTTTCAAACCGTTAACACAACCCATCCCATGGTGACCCCATGACGACACGAGAGAATGATTGGCTACTGTCCCTGACCCATGTAACCCCGTGGTGTCATTTGGCCCAGATAACTCAACCACGCTAAGGCGATCTCCCTAAATCCCTCTAGGTCACATTAACGCAACAGACCCTAGGTAACCCCTGCGCGTCCGCGTTTTCGCTAAAACCTTTTATCAAAACTTTTCCCCAAAACCCTTTTCTTTCCACTTCAAAACAATTTTCTTTTTTTCATGCCCAATGATATGCATGAATGTCACATGTTTTCCAATGCTATAACAATAAAGGATTTTATAGTACACATATAAACATGCTTCCATATAGCAATTTCCAATAAATTAAACACAATAGGCATGAAATATTACCATCTAAGCATGTTTTTCCACACAAATCAACTAATACACATATTCATATGCTTCATACACAACAATTAGATCATTTAAAAAAAAAAAAGAAATTCAATATAAATTAAGTATGCTAGGCAACAAGTAACAAGAATTTACTTACAAAAAATTCAACAATGTATGGATTAGAGATCTCTAACTCAAATGAGAGAAAACCCCTAAAAATCCCTAGATTTTCGAAAATCCTAGATTGGCCAAAAGTGTGATTTGCTCCTATCAACGCGTAAATCTTAACAAGCTCTTCGATTTACCGTAAACGGCACCAACAAACTCCAAAAGATGAGAGAATAATTGAAGTTTGAAGTTGTGAGGAAAAAAAAAAAAAAAAAAAGGGAAAGAGAGAGATAGCCGAGGAGAGAAAAAGAAATGAGGCCAAATTGGCCTCTTGGCCACTAAAATGAAATAAGTAGGGAATGGGTCCCACCACTAAAAAGTAAAATCCCACCTTTTCTTTTTAATATACATATATACATACAAATCAAATTTCAACCACACAATTAACACATTAACATAAAATTATACACAAAATAATTATATATGAAATGCAATGGACCCGTGACACCACCCCCGTGCACAACAATTTTGGTAGTGGGTCCCACCCTGGACTGTCTTGTCCGAAAAACGAAAAAATGCCGAAATGGCAACCCTTGCATTTTAAAGAATCCCGAACTTAAAGAAATACCCCAACCAACTCTCGGACACACCCGGCACACCCCACGGTATCCGACACGAAAAATATAAAAAGACGAAATTGCCCTTGCAAAAACAGAAAATCCCAGAAAATGGAACATGGCAAAAAACAAAAACATCACAGAAATGCTTGCCCTTGTCATCACAAATGGTGTCTTGAAATCCATAGACTTTGTAAATATAGAATACTGCTTTATCGCCCGAGATCCTTAAAGAAACTGTCTGCGCTCCCTCCCTTCTGCCATCCGGCCTCGGTGCTGAATTCTAAAACAACAAACCATAAAAATTTTAATATATATAACCATGAAAATTTTAATATATATATATACACACACACACACATATAAATAAATAATAGAGACATTATTTTTTAATTTTTTAATTTTGTTATTTAAAATAAATAAATAAAACTAATTATATCCTCTGATAACTTAAGATTTTAGAGATACGTTGCATTGTTCAGCTGATAGCGCCTATACCTATACCAAAACCACCTCCCCTACAGACGCTGATAAATGCTTAAATGTTGCATATTTCAGCACCTAAACTAGGGTATTTCAGCCTCTGCATCTATCTTAATTTCATGTTTTAGTTCTAATTTATGTTTATGTGTATTTCAGGGCAATAAAGTTAAAATGAGCTAAGAGCGGTCCATTAAATCCTTTTTGGAGTCGAGCAAAGATATTCAAAAAAAGTTCAGAAAATGGCAAAAAGGAGGTCGCAGCCCATTGCTCGTATAGTGTGTTTATTCTTCAAAAGCGGTCAATCTCAGGCCTTTGATGATGTTCCCAAAGATGAAGAAGCAAACTAATGAGCTCGGAGCCAAAATGGAGCTAAATAGGGATTAAAGGAAATTTCCAATTCTGGGGGGATGGATCCCCCAGGGTGGGGGATGGATCCCCCAGGACTTGGCAACATTACAAATTTTTTTTTTTTATTGTTTGGGCTTATTTTGTGAACTATTGGGCTTTAATAGAGTTGTTACTTAAGGCCCAGTGAGCCATTAGATTAGGGTTAGTATTTATTTTATTTAGGTGGATATTATTAGGATTATTAAGTTTTTATTTTTTTTTTTCTGTACGGAGATATCACGTTCTCTCGAGTGAACAGGCTAGGGTGAGAAGAGAGGGAAGAGTGGAGGCACAAGTTTGGAAGAATATCTACACACTCATCTCTCTTGAGCATCAAAGAAGAAGAAGAAGGAGCAAAGGATGGAGGTGGATCTTGTTGACACCTTGACTACCACAACCATGATGGGCTAGCTCTCCACTTAGGGCTTGGTTAAGCCCTAAGTCTCTTGTAATCTAAACCTTTGCAATTTCTATTTCTAAGGAGATTAATATATTGTTGTAGTTGATGTTGTGGTCTTGTGATTTCATACTTGGATGTTCCAAGATTTATGTTAATTAATCCTTCCATTATTTCTCTATCTTTGGTTGCATGTTTATGTGTGATCAATCTAGGGTTTATACTCATGATTAGATGTTAAAGATTAATTCTTTCATTAATTCTCTATGTTAATTTCATGTCTATGTATTATTAATTGAGAATTATACTTGAAGACCATGACATGGTATTTAATAGATGCAATTGTTAACTAGTTTGATGGTTTATACTTTATTCTTGATGGTTTGTGTTATGATTAGACAATTCATACTTGAAATTGATATTCCACACTTATTATATGCAATTTGTATCATCTTCTTGATTGTGGATTATATGCAAATGGTCAATGGATTTGTTTGGTTATGGTTTTGTCTTGATAGGTTGTACTACACCCTAGTTTACTTGTCATTAGGTAGACAATCTACACTTGATTAATCAATCCATCATCATGATTGAAATTTGTGTTATCACATTAATGTGTGCTCTTATTGGATGCATTTGTGGATTGGTGAGATAGGTTAAGCCTCAACATTGGTGTGTTGTCCTACACGTAGTTTACTTGTTGGTTAGGTAGGCAATGCATTACAAATGAATTGGATGATCATGCTTACATATGCAAATTGTGCCATTGATTGTAGCTACATTTTAATTACAACAATGTTCTCCCCATTAATAGAAAATAAGTGGTTAATTGCATGAGCTTAGTGGTGCTTCCAATAAACCCTAAGAATTTTCTTCTATCTCTTAAACCCCTAACTCTAACTTAGTTTATTTTCATTGCATTTTAATTTAATTATTCACTAGCTTAATCAACCAACCATCTATTTTATTCTCTCTTTATCTCTCTTATGGTAATCACTTGTTGAAACCAACTGTCTTATTTGAATCCAAGCCAAAGGTCTCTTGGGTTCGATCCCTTCTCACTTCATATTACATAGTATAAGTGTCTAGCGGTTTATAAATGTAAACTATGATGCCCGCTTGATACCATTTTCAAAACCAAAGTGTTGTGCATTATTTTGTGCACACGCTCCGGGTCGCATCATAATTTTGGCGCCGTTGTCGGGGACCATTGGTTTAATTGGAGTTAAATTAAATATTGGTTTTCATTTGATTATTTGTATATTCTTTCTATTTTCTTATTTTTCTCTCTCTAATGTGCAATTAGGTATTTGATACAAAAAAGGCAAAAATTGGAGCTTAAAGCTATCATTGGAATTTGAAGTTGCTTAAGAACCTTTGTGAGCAATTCTTACCCTAATTGTTCATTTTCCTATGCTTGCGAGATAGTCCTTGTTAAGGCTTTCATATTGCTTAAATATTTTATCCAAGCATAGATCCTTGACGAGGCCATTACTTTCGTTGTTATATGCATGAGCCATTGTCGAGGCAATTATTTTATGGTTTTTGGATTGTGAATGTGAATGGAGACCTTGTTTGATCCAAGTTTGGGGGAAAATTTTACCCATTATCCTTACGCATCTCTATCATATCATGATCCTTATGAGAGTGAGTCCAATGCATTTCATGAATCATCATCATATAATGGACTTGATCACTCTTATGATCCCTCTTATGACTACTACCCTCCCCCACCATTTTATAAAGAACCATCTCCATTACCTTACTCTCCCGGATTTGAAAATAAAATGTTAGCTCTAATTAATGAACTTAATGAAAGGAGACAACTTATTAATTCTCATTCTCATAGGCTAGCCATGCTAGAAACTCAAGTTGAGGAAATTGCAAGTACTCTTTCTTCTCAAGAGGAAGAGGAAGAAGAGGCAAGTCAATTAATGACTAATCAAAGTGAGCAAAACATGATAATAGAAGAGGGTGAGGCAAGTGAGCTAGTGACTAATCCAATAGAGCATAAATTAAATTATGAGGACATTCCTTGTAATCTTGAGCATGAGGAAATTGATAACTTAGAGAGTGAGGAGTTATTGACCACTATAGAGGTAGGAGAGGAAAATGAGGAACTTGTAAAAGAGAACCTTCCTTTTATTATCCCCAACGATCCTCTAGAGGCGTGCCTTTTGAAAATGTATGAAGGATGTGGTTTTAACATCGAAAGCTCCACATATGAAGTGAACTCTCTAATGAACTCCATAGCTAACTTGGAAAGTAAAGAGATGGTGATCAATGAGGAAGAGAAAAAGGATGAAAAGAGCGCATTTCCTAATAATTCAATTGAGTCTTTGAAAGACGTTGCCTTGCCAAGTGCAAGACTGCCCATTATTGATTTCATTTTCAAGACCATTGATGAAAGGAAACAAATTGCATCTTACATCATTTCTTTTCAAGTCATTCTTTTGGGAGATGAATTTGTTGTTATGAGAGAGGATCCACTTGGGAAAATAGACAAACGGATTAATGAGGATATCTCATATCCGGTTTTTGATTCTTTCGACTAGTGAGTTACCCCACTGTCTTGCTAGAGACGTTAAACACTAGTTTTTCGCAGAGTTTCCCGACTTTACTTCTCTTTCATTTCTCTTTACTTTATTTCTTGCGTCTTTGTCTAAATAAAATTTTATTTTATTTTCTTCTTTTACTTTATTTTATTTATTATACAATTCTGCTTTTAGAAAAAAACAAAATAATTTTTTTTTTGTAATGGGTAGCGTAGGGTGTTTGATTTTATTTTCATTATTATTATTATTATTATTTTTATGTATATTTCAGTTTGGTGTATTTTATTTACTTTATTTTATTTTATCTATATTTTATTTTAGTGAATATATTCTTTTTAGTTTTGCTTTAAAAAAAATAAAAATTAAAAAATAAAATTAAATTAAAAACAGAAGCAAAAGATCGATCTGGGGATTGATCAATACCATTTTCTGGCAGAGAGCATAAAAAAAAAAACCCTCGTGGATCGATCCCCCAACCATGAGGATCGATCGGTTTTGTTTTAGCCCTCACTTCCCTCTTCAGAGGGATCGATCGGTTTTGTTTTAGCCCTCACTTCCCTCTTCCCTCTTCCACCTTCCCTCTTTCACCTTGGCGCCGTCACCTCTCATATCTCAACACCGAGCACCACACTACCAGCACCAGCTCCGGCCGAATCAAAACCACCCCAACCTTCGGCTGTCGTCTCTGAAATTTCAAGCGCAACTTACTGTCACCGGGTTCTTTATTTCCGGCAAGCTCTTGGCCAAAAGGCCGAGCTATTCTTTTTCAGTCTCGGCTCTCTCTCATCTGGTTCTTCCGGCGGCGTCGCGGCTTGTTCCTTCTGGCGAGTTTCTGCATCGTCGTTTTCTCCGGCGTTTTCTGGCAAGCTCGTGATTCGCCATTTATCCGGCGATCAAGGCTGGATCTTTCCAGCGCCGGCTGGGTTATTTCCCGGCGATTTCGATTTCGCCGTTTTCCAGCGCCGGCTGGGTTCTCTGTCGCTCGGCTGGATCGTTCTCCGGGGATTTCGGCGTCGTTCTTCTCCGGCCGTGATTCGCCGTTTCTTTCCGGCATGTTTGTGAATCACGGCTGGTTTGTTCTCTGTCGATTCCGGCAGGATTTTCTCCAAGCGATCTCGGCTGGGTCATTCTCCAGCGATTCCGGCTGTGCTTGTCCTTGACGTGGATGAGTCCTATTTCGGCTGGGCTCTTCTCTCCGGCGAGCTTGTGGGTAATCTTCGCCGGCGATTCTTGAACTGGTTTACCCAGCGCTGCCGGTTTCTTCTCCGACGAGCTTGTGTTACATAAAAATAATAATAATAATAATAATGTAAATAAATAAATAATAATAATAAAATTTAAATAATAAAAAAAAAATTTTGAATTGTTGTTTAAAAAAAAAAAAAAAAAAAAAAAGGATTGATGATTTTTTATTTAAAAAAAAAAAAAAACAGTTAAAAAACAATTGCATTGATAATTTAA